CCAACTACTCTCATTGATTATTTATCTCTTACTTCAAGCACCAAACTTTTGTTTTAAGTGTTACTAATATATCTGGATAAAATTTAAAAGGGGAAAATATTGTATTACATAAAAAGAATAAACAAGATGTGCAAAACATCTTTTAACGTCCAGACAGTGGGAATAGTAAATTATTCCTTTGACTAAGCAAACAAAATTTTAACTTAAAAAGAAGATTAAAACATCAAATATGGGAATTCAATAACTGCTCTAATTGCTTGACTTTTTAATCACTCGTAAGCATCGCCCGCTAATTGGACTTTTCTCAAAAGCGAACTACTTTAATAAAACAAAGCTCAGGACAATAACGTTGACCTTCATGTAATGCCAGGGAACGCTGGTGCAAGTTTCGTTCTTAACCAGAAAGTGGATTAAAGAAATGCACAGCAAAAAATAGCTGTCATTATTCGAAATCAAAATCTACTCAGCATTTTTTCCCACTTGCCTTGAAATTTAAGCACCAACCAAAAGCCAGAAAGAATTATAGCCGATTAACAATTTGTTTATAAATTGGTGGAGCTAAGCAGAACGCCCCCATTTATTTTAGCTTTAATTCACTTTTAATCTTTTCTCTTGTTACCTATTCACTCACTATTCAAACCCGCATTTTTTAGGCGACATTTTAGTTAACTTCCAAATTTGTGCATTCCTTTAGCAAAGCTCTTTTTGCCAAAATCTAGCGCTTTTATAGGATGATTAATGAACGTTTCATAGCAGTCCAGGTTAAATAAAATTATTTGGTCGAATTTACCTTCCCTTTTTTCAGAAATGATGTCAACTACTAGTTGGTAAGCGTATAAATTAAATGCAATTTTATTACATTGCAATGGTTGATATTATATTATATTATATTATAAACTTCAACTCAAAATTACTACTACTTGTGCTAAACTTAAAGCTTTTCTGGTAAAAATTATTTTAGAGTAGCACAAGGCAAACATGCCTGTCACACCAGAGACTATTGATTTGCTTTTTGTCCATTCATAAAGTGAGAAAGCGAAATACAGTTGAAAGTGCTAGCTGTTGACGCTATTTCAGGAAATGATATTATCCGTGAAAAAAAACACATATTTAGATTTCATTATTAGATATAAATGATTTTTTCTAGTTTCTATTGCCCACCACCCTCACCGTGAAAACAAAATAAATGCTCTAAGATGTTCTTTTAGGTTATGACGTCCAATTCCATTAGATTTTCAATAAGAAGCACTTCATCATTCTAACTAATGTCCCTTTCAAAAAAACTGATATAGTTGATTAAGTGTTTTGGAATAACCAGAGTTCCATCTTGTTCCTCCCTCGAATCTAAATCCATTGCAGCCAATCGATATTTAGTAGGCAGCTAGGTCATAGGGTCCCGGAGTCGGTTGGGTGGAGGGGAGGGGGGTAGGGGGGGGGGGGAACATTGGACTATCTTTGATTCTAATGATGCAGAAGGGCAAAGTTGATATATTTTCATTAATTTTCACTTTCTTGCTTATTGCTGCCGACCAAACTGACTGTTTATCTTAAAGCTTGCATTCCCTCTCTCACCAAAATGTTTATTTACACGAACACTTCGTGTTTACAAGTATTGACCTCAACAAGTTCGAAAGCGAGGTTCGCTCTTTCCTAGCCACTCTAAATGTGTACATTGATTTTCATTAATTTTTACTAATTTTTTTATATTTCGATTCGCTTTGGGTATTTTCATAGGCTTATGAGGCAGGCGTTTTGATAGATGTCATTAGATATTTAGCTGACTTCGGGCTTCACAGAGGGAAGGTTCATCAAAGTAGCAGAAAGTCGAGGGGTGGGGAACGGAAGAGCGATTCACAGATGTAAAAGAGGTAGACAGACACAAAGGTAGAGAAAAAGGTAAGGTGAGTACTGTGAGGGGTCGAATATGACATACAGTGGGGTCATTAGTTGTTTGAAGTCAGAAGTCAACTGCCGGTTAATAGACTTTTTTGCCGTATGAGTATACATTGCCCAGGGTGCACCACGTGGAGGTATGAGTATACGTTGCCCAGGGTACACCACGTAGAGGTAAGTCTATTGCATGAGTATACGTTGCCCAGGGTGCACTCCGTGGTGGTATATGAGTATACGTTGCCCAGGGTGTACCACGTGGAGGTAGGTATAGTATACATTGCCCAGGGTGCGCCACGTGGAGGTAAGATAGCTTGAACTCAGAAGTCAACTGCCGGTTTATAGACTTTTTTGTCACATGAGTATACGTTGCCCAGGGTGCACCACGTGGAGGTATGTCATTTGAGTATACGTTGTCCAGGGTGCACCACCTGGAGGTAAGTCTATCGTGAGTATACGTTGCCCAGGGTGCACCACGTGGAGGTGTATGAGTATACATTGCCCAGGGTGCACCACGTGGAGGTAGCCGAATGAGAATACGTTGCCCAGGGTGCACCACGTGGAGGTAAGGTGTGAGTGTACGTTGCCCAGGGTGCACCACGGACTCTTTTGCCGTGTATACGTTGCCCAGGGTGCACCAGTTTGTTTGCCGTATGAGTATACGTTGCCCAGGGTGCACCACGTGATAGACTTACTTGCCGTATGAGTACACGTTGCCCAGGGTGCACCACGTGGTGCCTTATGAGTATACGTTGCCCAGGGTGCACCACGTGGAGCCGTATGAGTAAACGTTGCCCAGGGTGCACCACGTGGAGCCGTATGAGTATACGTTGCCCAGGGTGCACCACGTGCCGTTTGAGTATACGTTGTCCAGGGTGCACCACCTGGAGGTAAGTCTATCGTGAGTATACGTTGCCCAGGGTGCACCACGTGGAGGTGTATGAGTATACATTGCCCAGGGTGCACCACGTGGAGGTAGCCGAATGAGAATACGTTGCCCAGGGTGCACCACGTGGAGGTAAGGTGTAGTATACATTGCCCAGGGTGCGCCACGTGGAGGTAAGACCGTATGATTATACGTTGGCCAGGGTGCACCACGTGGAGGGGTATACGTTGCCCAGGCTGCACCACGTGGAGGTAAGTTTATAAGTCTATTGCACACCCCATGATACCTATCATAACGCCTGCCATTTGAAAGTACGTTGTCCAGGGTGCACCACGTGGAGGTAAGTCTATCGTATTCTTAAGAATAATTGTTTAGAAAACCAGCAAGGGTTGAAAGTTGCCCAGGGTGCACCACGTGGAGGTAAGTCTATCGCACGCTGTCCAGGGTGCACCACGTGGAGGTAAGTCTATCGCACACACCCCTCCGCTTCCAAATAAGATGTTGATAGTGAAGGCATATTTCCAGGGTGCACCACGTGGAGGTAAGTCTATCGCACACCCACTTGGCTCTCCCCTCAAATTTCAACCCTACACGGATGGGCTCAAAGTCCTACATAGAACTGTCAGTATTTCATGGAGAAGTTACTGGTTGGTTTGCCGGTATGACGCTTTTATTTCTGGCCTATTTATTGAGTTGGTAATCACAATAGTATGCATTTTTAACTGAGGGTGAGAGAAATCGAAGGGATACATTAGCCCTTGGAAATTAAATTTTGATGAATTAAGTGAATAGTACCAACTACTACTCTAACGCTGGAGGCTTGAAACCGTTTCGTCGGATAGTTGAATAGAAATTGGCCATGCAACCACTCGAACTGTATTTTTTTGCGCATCCAAGTATAAGACAGTTCAACGAACTTAGCGGTAGATATTTTCATGAATATAATCAACACTTTTATATACCGAACACTACAAAGCACTGTAGAAATTAAAAGCTATTATGTGACCTCACAGATTTCCTTCCTTAATCCACCAGAACATTCCTTACAATTTTTTTTCACACAAATGCACTTATTACTACCTTCAAAGAAAGCATTTAATCGAAATGAAAATATGTGAAAATAAAAATACTTTTGTTCACTGAAATCAATCGATACGGACAGAAATGCTGACGAAAAGCTTTCAGAGATATTCACATTTTTCTACGAGGCGCCAATATAGTGAGATGAAGAATAAAATGTAGATAATTCACTCATAAAACAATAAAGTCTTATATAATTAATTTAATTAAGTCTGTATTGAGCACATAAGCAATGGGACTTTTTTACTCTTTACTCAATTACTTGCAAATTTTAGAAGAAAATAGTTGGTACTCGCAACAATTGTTTTAGTAAAAAATCTATTTTATTTCATTTATTAATTGCGATACTTTTAAGAATTCACAAATAAGTGTACGTTTAGTAAAATCTACACTCGAATGTACCAAGGTTTATCTTCCTGATTTACTGACAGTCATAACTAAGCTAAATAAGTTTAAAAATACAAAGAAGACATATTTTTGCATTCTTATTTGTTTTTTTATGGCAATTTCCGCAATTACTCAACAACAACCCCCCCCCCCACATTTTAAGTTGAACTTATTCATTGACCACTGACTCCATTCCAAAATCATATAAACCACCATGAGGCATTAAGTCAATAAATACAATCCAGTCTCTAAGTCTCTAGAATACGCGCCACGTTCGCTTGGAAGAACGTTATTCCTTGGAGTTTGCACACTATTCTTTGTCAAATTCTAAACAACTGTAAGTATTTGAATAAATTATGATAAGAATTTTTTGACTTTTATTGTCAATACAATGTTGTTGTAAGCTAAAATAGTGCTCTAACGGCAAATGGTTAAACACGTTCCATTCGTTACCTCATGGTATTTCTCATCATTAGATTACCTACCGAGTATTTGGACAGTCATGCAAATGTTCGCTTTTGGTCAATCCGAACAGCCAATAATATGCTAGTGCCAAAGCACGCATGATGACAAACTTCGATTCTATTGGACAATAGCATAAAAGAAAAACACAAAAAGGCACTTACTAGGATGAAAATGCAATTTCGTAGAAAAAAACGCCCGTTTAGACTTTATTGAGCGATAGCAATCACATCTAGAGGGAATCACCTATTAATCATGATACTACACTATGATTGAGGCAACCAAGTTATTGTATCTAGATTAGTTTTTGGCAACAGGTAGTGGTTTTCCTATACGTACAGCTCATGGCATATCTCCTCGCCTCTTCGCAGGGATCCAGCTTTGGGCACTTATTTTTCGGTGGAGAGATGGCCTCGCGAATGGCTCGAAGACCGTTCATAATTTTTGATGCCACATATGAAGTGACCTCACCAACCTTATGCGCGATTTTAGCGAACGTGGAAGGTGATGTACATTGTTGTGTTGACGCACAGCATTGTACACATTGCTCTGGTTGTGGTTGTGGTTGGCAGGCTACCGGAGCAATAGGGCAGCTGGTGCAATTTACAGTTATTTTCTTCTTATGTCTTCCAAACATGATGGAAATTCTACTAAGTCTCGCTTCCATATATGCGCCTTTTATATGAGAAAGGCAAAACATTTATTTGATCTTGTGAGATATCATAAGTCATTCCGTGATATTAATGTTGAAATGGTATGACCAATTATTACCATGTAGCCATCTGATCTACATTCTTAAAATGTACATACAGTGATTGTTTAAAAACATGTGTAAGCAATTATCATACATTTTGTACATTTCAGACAATTATGCTAAAAAATGTGGGGAAATTGTCTTCCCTATTTTGAGTGAGTACAATGATGTGAATCAGGGGTGTGCGATAGACTTACCTCCAAGTGGTGCACCCTGGGCAACGTATATTCATACGGCAAAAAAGTTTATTAACTGGCAGTAGACTTCTCACTTCAAACTGCCATCATAACACTGTATGTCATATTCGATTACTTCCATAGTACTCACCTCACTTTTTTCTAACTTTGTGTCTGTCGCTTTTACATCTATGAAACACTCTTCTGTCCCCCCCCCTTCCTCAATCCTGACTTTTTTCACTTTTATGTTCCTCTACCTCTGTGAAGCCTGAAGTCAACTAAAGGGCCTCCCATTTGATATAAATAAATAGATATAATGTGAATCAAGTTTAAGATTGATCTCTTTCGTGTCACAATTTCTTTAATCAAGAATCCAGTTTAATTCATATTTTAACAATCAGATTGACGGTTGAAAATTAGAAATGATAATTACTTAATAATGTTCGTCGAAGGTATCCATACAGGGAACTAAAAGTTCAACTTTGATCTCAGTGAGTATAT